AAGTTCTCTCTATTTAAGATTTCTCGTCCTCCCTTTATTTTTACCATTTAAGTACAAGTATTCATATTATTGTCCCTTTAATTTTGAATATTTTTCAATTTAGTTCTCATTTTTAATAAAATAAATAAATAAAACGTGGGACTACTATTAGTTGATACCACAAGACAATCAATAGACCTTAAAAAAGAAAAAATCTTTCGAAATGTTAGTCCAAACTCCCCAGAATACCACGACAATATTCTTTTTCCCGAGTGGGATCAAAGTTCAATATTTAGCACAAACTTTTGTTATCTCGTTCAAGTATCTTAGGATGAAAACATTTTGTATTTTGGTCATAGAATTTCACTCTTTCTTTTTTTTTTTGACAAAAGAATTTCAGTAATTTATTTTTCCTATATAGTTTTAGAAGTAACGTTTTGTACACCAATGATAATACCAAATTCCTAATTGTACAAATTTAGTGTTTTAGCCATTATAACATTATCGAGGAGTTTTACAATATCTTTTGATTATTATACCTTTCATCGTTGAATATATAAAATTAGATATTAGTTCTTAAATCATTTCAGGACTTTAAATTATTGAATAACGTAATAAGAATTTAGCGAATTACTTTTATATGTATTCGTTAACTACCTTTATTTTCTTCTTATATTTTTTAAATGAAAAACAAAAACTAAAAATAACAAAATAAAAAGGTATTAGCTAGCTAACTTTATTTTCTCCTCATATTTTTTAAATGAAAATAAATACTAAAAATAACAAAAATTTTTTTTAAAAAAAAAGGAGAAAGAAGAAGAAGAAAAGACGATGTGGCAATTGTTAACTACTTTAGGAAGTTGGTTTCTTTATTCTTTTTTTTTTTCTTAAGAAAACCAAAATTATTTTTGGATTAGATTCTTCCGTCTTTCCAACAAATCTACAGATTTTAAGCATTTTTTCAGGCTTTTGCCTCTTTCACCCTGGCCCTTTTCGTTTCTTTGCATTTTTATTCAATCTGCAAAGAATAATATATTAAAAGTACATATCTGAAAAGATGAGCTCTGGGGAGGGTTCTTCTCAACCTTCTTCCAAGAAATCCAGGCAACCCAAATGTAGATTCTCTCTTCCAATTTTTAGTTCCCTCTGTTTCTTTGTTTTTTGATTTTCTTCATTCAGTTGCTTTACTGAGGAATTGATTCTTCCATTTTATTTCTTTTGAATTTGTGGATGATTGTGATTGATCGTTTCTCAAAATGCATGTTTTTTATTTTTGGAATTTTTGGCTATTTTGATGATAATTATTCGAACAGTTAACCTCAGATTTGTAATGGAACAAGAAATGGTTTTTCAAGAACCATCACGAGCCTGCATGATTATAATAAGTAAATTCTTTTAAAAAAATGAGAATAGTTCTTAAGTGCTATTTGGGATTCCGTTTCTTGATTCTTGATCATTAATCCATAAGGTTTGGCAATGCGGGGAGATTGACAGTGGTAGTATGTTTCTGAATGTTCGGATTTATGAAAGCCTTTGCGAGATCCCCCTTTCTATTTTTATTTTTATTTTTTGATTGAGTATCAATACAGTTTAAAGCCCGTGATTGATTCAATTACGTAAATTTCCCATAGATATGACGATTTATGGTGAAGAATTCAGGAATTTTCTCTAGCTACTTAATTGTTGCATCTGATCAATATGCAATTTTAGTTTCTGAATTCTGGTTTTTAGCATGTAACACTGATTAACCTTTTTTAAATGAATGATTAGTTGATTGAGATTGCTTTTTTTAATAGATCATCCCTGTCAATATAAGTATCCAATTGTTGCCACTTTGTTATGCTTCAGATTCTAGGTTTACACAACAAGAACTGCCTGCATGCAAACCGATATTAACTCCAGGATTGGTATGTTTTCATTATATTCTGCAACTGGATTTTGATCTGTGAAACTTGATCCTTTTTCCTTTTCTGTTCTTTTCTGATTCTCCTTCTGTAATTATTTCAGGTGGTCACAACTTTTATACTAGTAGGGGTTATATTCATACCAATTGGCCTTTTGTCTTTGTCTGCATCAGAGAGGGTAAAGATTTAGATGATCCATCTGCTAGAGTCTTTCAAAAGAGTAACCTTTTCAATGGGTCTGATATGCTATTACTGATGTATAGGTGGTTGAAATTGTAGACCGCTATGACGAGGATTGCATTCCTTCCGATCAAGAGAAAACTGCATTTATTCAGAGTGACAAGACCAACAAAACCTGTGTCCGGAGCTTGACAGTAGGTGCAATTTCTTAGCACTGATGTTTGCAGATACAACATGAAAAGAATTTGTTTCATTTATTCCACTTCTCTTCCTCCAGTTTGAAAATATTAGTTTGCAAAATGTTTGTTCAGGTCCCAAAGAAAATGCAGCATCCAGTTTACATCTACTACCAGCTTGATAACTTCTATCAAAACCATCGTAGGTATGTTTTATATTTTTTTTCTGACGTTGTTTCCAACAGGATTGAGTAGTTTTTATTTATTTGAAATGTCTCTTGGGTGTTTTTCTCATTGTTTTTGTGAAAACACCAGCATGCTAGGCTTTATAAGCTGGACCAAATGAGTAATTTGACCTTAATGATGTGAAGCTTTCTGGAGATCAGAGTGGATTTTTTTTTTTTTTTGGTGCAGCTGGAGATGCCTTGTTCTTCCAAGTTTATTGATTCTCCAGATTCTGTGGTTTCATAATCTAAGAAAACCTTGATTTGCTTGCAATCACACTTTGCTTTTACTACTGATATAAGTTTAATCAGTGGGTGAGGAATTTCTTTGTTATTTGTGGCATCTTTTGTAGTTGTCTTGCTCCTAGCCATAACAGAAACCTAATTGCAAATTTGCGACTTCTAGTGTGCTATACTCTTTCTTGATTAGCTTGTTTCATCTTCACCTATTCAGAGCTCCACTGGAAATCTCACTCTCTTTTCCAGCTTCTGATTGTTTATTACAAACCTAAGTGTGATGTAAAGTTTCTGATTGCTTTTATGCAGATATGTCAAAAGCAGAAGTGACAAACAGTTGCGAAACCCAGAAAATGAGGATTTAACATCACCCTGTGAACCCGAAGCACGCATTGATAATAAGCCCATTGTGCCTTGTGGCCTTGTTGCTTGGAGTTTGTTCAATGATACTTATGGATTCTCAGTTAGGGGCATGAATCTATCTGTAAACAAGAAAGATATTGCATGGGACAGTGATAAGAACTATAAATTTGGATCAAAAGTTTATCCTAAAAACTTTCAGCAAGGAAGCTTGATTGGAGGAGGAAAACTTGATGAAAAAATACCAGTTAGTGCAGTCATCTCTTCCTCTTTATCTTTTCTCCATCTCTCTTTCGAAATCTCTCCCTTTTACATTTTCCTATCTACCGATCCAAGCATTCGTTTACTCTACTCGATTTATTGCCTTGTAACAGTTGAGTGAGCAAGAGGACCTTCTAGTCTGGATGCGCACTGCTGCATTGCCAAGCTTCCGAAAGTTGTATGGGAGAATTGAACAGGATCTTGAGGCTAATGAGAAGATAACAGTGGTTATACAGAATAACTATAATGCTTATGCTTTTGGAGGCAAAAAGAAGCTGGTTCTTTCGACTACAACTTGGATTGGTGGAAAAAACAATTTCTTAGGCTTGGGATACATCACTATTGGTGGATTGTGTTTATTCAATGCAACAACTTTCATAGTAATGTACCTTATAAAGCCAAGGTATTCTCATTAGTAGTTATCAATCCTCTTATTACTGTTTAGCATCTGATGGATATAGTTCTTCTAGTTTTGGTAGCATGAAATTTTTAATTTACTGTACACCTTCATGAGTACATAACCACTGAGACCAGATTCATTGGATGAATTATTTTAGGGTCAGTGGAAATTGAGCTTTTGTTTTAAGATGAGAAACTGAAATATGATTCTATAATCTTCTCTTACATATGATTTATCAGCATATAGAATTATGAAATGTGGAAACCTACGCCTGTTTGTCAATTTATTTTGTGAGAATTTCTGTTTACAACATTGGTTTAATTGATGTCTTTGCCTTGTACTTGGTAATTCTTTAATACTTCTTTTGTCCATTCACTCATGCAGGCCTTGTGGCGATCCATCCTATTTGTCTTGGAATAGAAACCCACCTGGGAACTGAGTATTCACTATGTTCCAGTTGGCCAATTGTTGATGTATTATTATTCCATTATCATATTCTGAATCTTAGCATTTATTCATATTTTTCTGGATTTTCTTTTCCTTTTTCTGTGCAGATTGCCAAAGCTAAGTTGCATGGCCTTGATTTTGTGGGTTTTTTCTTCCTTCTTAATCCTGAGCAGGATATATTGTGAATACTAAAAGCGTATAATAAGCAATTTATTAGTCTACATTGTATCTATATCATATTACAATATCATTCACATGAAAGTGGCATGGCCTATTTTCCTGCAGGGTTGTTAATCTACAATGCCCTTGAAACAGATCAACAATTCTTAACTCTAATCTTTGCAGTTTTCTTTTGCATTTTGTGAGGTTAATTACCACTTCCGAGATACAAAACTCTATATTGGCAGATCGCGAACATGATCTAACTCAATTCCACATGCCATTTCACTTCCATATGAGCCAGGAGTCTTATCTTGATATTCACCTTTGCAAATGGAACCGCGGAATGAAAACCTGTGTTGTGGACCTGCACTGATGGACTTTTAGTTGAGAAAGGATCTCAAATGAAAGGACTTGGAGTGATTATTGAGTTTTCAAACTTCCAAACACTATTAACTCCAGGCTTTCGTGTCTTCCTGTTCTTGCAGTTGCACTCCAACCCGCATGGCCAGATGTTACCCTAGATAAGAGTCCCATAAACCATTGATGGGTTAAGAAGTTGCAGCAGAATAGGTAAGGTGAGAACTGTTCGACAAAATCCATTGATGGGAGAAGTGTTAATTTCGATTGGTAAGATAGCGATTATTGTTGTGGTGGTTTTTCTGCAAGTTCATAGCTAAGGAAGAACTAACAATAAAATAACTTAATGGAGAAGAGGTTCACAAGAAAGCAACATGTGCTAACCACAATCAAATTACAAATTTTATAATGCCATAGATACATATTTTCAATTCCTTTTTGTTAAAGACAACAGCAGCAAAAGAATTGCTGGATGGAGGAAGAAAAACAAGTATTACGCCTTCTTCAAGAGAATGATCAGCCACAAATTCCGGTTTTGATGGAAATTCTTTTTTATCATTTCGAAGACATAAATTTTGCTCCCATTCGGCAATACTATCGTTGGAGTCGTGCTTTCCTCAAGGGAACAATCAAGCATACTTTGAAACTTCCTATAAGCAACAAATTTATAAAAAGTTTCAATTAGATCACAATAAAGTTCTAAGCCGAGAATTTAAAATACAACATATAGATACGTATCAAACAATACATAGACACAGGAGTATAAAACTGATAAAAAAAACAATTAAGAATCGTGCAATCATGGCCAAGAAAGGGATTTATAGATGATGTAATTGTCTTGGAAAGTGTTTGTTGATCCATGCATTGTGCAGTCAAACAAAGAGATGAAAAATTCTCTCCTAGAATAAATAGCAAAAGTCTATATGAAATGGCGTGCAATCAGTAACTTCTTTTGGTAAAAGCATGATAGAAAGAAGTCTAAACCATGCATGTCAGAATATTACATGACTGAACAAGGAATAAGGATTCAGTTTGAAGGAACAAAAATAACATACCAGAGTCGTTAAAAGCAAAATTCTGAAAGGAACAAAATGAAGAAAAAGACAAAAGATAGAGAACAAAAGTTTAAAAACTATACCTATATAGCCACAAAGATATCAAATAAGTGATTATGGTCAGATTAGCAATGACTTTTCTGCATTATAAAGCAAGCTGAGGTAGACACTTTAACAAAAATGGGCATACAAGTTTCAAAATGCCTACCTAGAATATAGAATAACTACTAAATCACAAGCCAGTTCTGGATTCATGTGTCTAATATTGAGACAAACATATTAATAGGTAACGATCAGACAAAAAGTACCTGTGATCAAACTATCAATGTTGCTCCTATTATATTTATATAAAACAAACCAGTCTAACCACTTAACAAAAATAGTCACCCAAGTCCAAATGTACCTGCCAAGAAGATAAAATAACCACTAAACCATACGCAAGTCTTGGCTTCATACATCTAATAATAAAACAGATTAGTAGGTAATAATAGGAAGACAAAAGCAGTAAAAGAAACACTTTTGCAATATCACACAGATAGGTATGAAAAACAAAATGAGATTTGTGTTTGCATAATATATTGTAAAACAAGAATTTTGCCTACTTCAAGAATGGTATGGCCAATCACACAGATAGCTCAGAACAATTCAGAAACAATGAATACAATTTAAACCTGCAATTCTCTCATATACTCACGATATATTGTAAAGAACTTGCTTACAACTGAATTTTTCTTTGGTATTGCTCTACCTCTTGCTTCCTGATTGCCAGTTCAAAGAAAAAAGGATTTAAAATGGATGACTTTACTTTAGTACACATGTGTGGCAACAATAATGTAATAAAGTTCAGTTGTAATGTATGTCATACCATTCTTTGATGATATTAGCATTTGCAAAGATAGACCTAACTCCTCAACAGCTAATAGCTACTGGAGCTGTAATTTACATCTACAAATATATTAGTTTTAGGAATCCTCCTATTGCGTCATAGACTACTGAAAAACAATTTAAAGACTGTAAAATTTCTACAAATATTAAAACAGTCATAAATGTAGTCAAATTTGTAGTGTCCTACGTGATTTTACCAATCTTAACACTAATGAAATTTCATGCAAGAGCTGTTGCATAGTCTCTACCTAATAAAATCCCTAGACAAAATTTCAAGTCATCAATTTAAGGAAGATGTTGTTCAAGCTCTGGTACGCCATAGAATTGTTAATTCATATTAAGCAAATCCTTGTTCTATCATTAACAAAATCAAAACCTCTTAGGATGCTCAAAAGGTTCTTTTACTTTGTATGTAGCAAATACCACTCCCTTTCATAAGCAAGGTGATCAACTACATATGGAATCCTAAGGACATTCATAAAAAACTCCATGAGACATTCATAAAAAAACCAACCAATTAGCACCAAGAGATGGAATCCTAAGGACTGCTAGACAATTTTCAAGCGCTACAACAAGATATAAAACACTGACCATATATTTAACAACTAATTTACAAATTATAGTGGAAATATATAGCGACTTGATAAAAAACATAGGACTTCTTAAAACACTCTTGAAGGTCAAACAAACCATCTCCACTACTAACTAGACCAAATGACAGATAAAACTAAGACCATGACAACTCCAAATGATTCAGATTAAAGCAAATAAAAAGTATATGGTTGAGAAACAATCATTAAGAATGGTCAAAATCCCAAATAATGAGAATTCACAAACTCACCTATTGAATATGTTCAGCCACGTAATCAAGTAGATTTTTTCCATCTTGAACATGAAATTCTGCCAAAAAAAAAAAGAAAACAGGTTAAAAACAAAAATTAAGTCTGAATTCAAAATTTATTTCAAGTAGATGAGGAGTGATAAAAAACTGAAGAATTATAAATTACCATCCGAAAATCAATCTCAATCTAAACAAATGTAAACTCATTACATTATCACATAACAACCTAAACCGCTTCCAATAAATTGATGAGACAAACGTGTAAGGGAAAAGAACCAAAGAAATGTCCAATTGCAGCACCTGCGCATGAAATTGATAAAAATACTGAAAGAGTAAAGGAGAAAAATATAAGATAAGAAAGGAGAGAAAAAACCCAAAGAGGTTTGGCCAATACCACTATAAAAGAAAACCCAAAAAATTGATGAGATCAGATACTGAGAAATCCACAAGCAGCATCCCACTGGTCATCTCTGTTCTTAAAAGAAAGCATGGAAAAAATACATTTTAGAGAAAATACTGATTCGGCAACTTCTAAGTTCAATATGGAATTGGGAGAAATCATGAAAAACAGATATAGAGAGACCTTTCAAATAGTTGGGGATAGATTCAATTCTCCTACCTCGTGTCCTTCTACCTTTTTTCCGTTCTGTTTCGAAAAGGGAGAGGGAAGGGAGGCAAGATGATGTTGAAGAGGAGGGAAGACGAAAGATAAGGTAGCAGAAGGAAATAAGGGAGAAAACAGGATGGGAGGAAGAACGGAAAAGAAAGAAGAAAGGAGCAGCGGCAAATCTATGGAGAGAAAACTATACCTGGCAATTGGGTGGGTTGGACGGATTTTGAGCGGGTTAATATTGAATTTTCATTTAAATGAATTATACTCAACCCGTTCAATTTTAGATTGGGTTAATTTTGGATTGGGTCATATTGGGTCATCTCAAACCCATGATCCAAATATGATCAAATATATATAATTAATAGATTTTGGACAGATTTTGGGCGGGTTAATATTGAATTTTCATTTAAATGGATTACACCCAACCCGTCCAATTTTAGATTTGGTTAATTTTGGATTGGGTCATATTGGGTCATCTCAAACCCATGATCCAAATATGACCAAATATATTAATTAATAGATTTTGATACATAAATTCTTTCAAATACATTTTCACGTACAAAAAAAAAAAAATTTAAGTGGATGCCCAACACAAATATCGAAATCGCCCAAAAAAAGATTTTATGCTAATATTTTCACAAAGAAAGTATGGTAATTTTGGATTTATGTAATTTTTACATATTGAGAATACGGTTTATAAAAACAAAAATCTTTTAGCATGAATGAGTTATGTGGTAGTTATTAAGCACCGAGGGCACGAGTAGTTGTAAGTTGACATTAACGTCTCAAAAATAATTTCGAATTTAATAATGTTCAAATTCTTCATACTGCACATTTTGATGACGATAATATAAATGAAAAAAAGTCACATTCGAACTCACATTGTCACGATGAATCTGGCAATTATTCTAACACATCTGGCCTTTTCCATATCTAGGGTAATACTCTATTAAGTATATAATCAAGGAATTATAGGCCAAGTAAAAAAATTTTAACTTGCTTGGCGAATTATGTTATAATCACAAAAGATGTTTATAGCAAAACATAATAAAAAAAAGTCTGCAGTGATGCTTTTGAGTAACTATTCACCCTTTTAAAAGATTGTGTTGATTATTCACTTGATTCAATTAGCATAAGTTGGGTAATGGGTGCCCAACACAAATACCCAAATCGTCCAAAATATATGTGGGGTATTATTACCCAACCCAAAATTGACCCAATACCCAACTTACCCAACCCAACCTCTCAAATTAGTGGGTGGGTTGGGTGGGTTATTGGGTTTTGGGTATAATTGCCAGGTCTAGAGAAAACCCTAAGTTGCCGACAGAGAGAATTAGAGAAAGTGGAGAGAGAAAATGGATAAAAAATGAATAGAAGAGGATAGGAAGCGGCGGCTTAGAACTTGAGTGACCTAAACCCGCGCGAGGCGCTAAATCAACGAGAAGAAGGGTCACGTGAGGACGACGAAAGTCACGTGAAAATGACCAAAGCCTTTGGCTCTTTTATTACTTACTAGGAGGTATAACTGCGGCATTGCGCGATGGAGTAACCTACATGCATGCCCATTTAGACGGCTTTAAGAAGGGTTTATATAGATAGTGATGGTGTGGTTGGATTAAATATTAAGAGTATAACATATCTTAAAGTCGATTACTGTAAGAAAGTATGAAGAAAAAAGGAAAGTTTGATATGTTGCAGAAGGAAAAAGATGTTGTGTGTAAAGATACAATGATGAGTATTAAATGTAAATGTGGTCTAATTGGTTGTAATTCTGAAATTGACCGGTGTAGTAGATAAAAAAGAGTTTGTTTCAAACAAAGTGTATCTGTTCGACAGCATTTCCAGCTGTCAAATTGTGCAGCAAATTGATAGATCAATTCATTACACATACAGAATCATAGCAATCAATGTGCTACTTGGTTCCAAAAGTCAAGTGCTCTGATAAATAAACGGATAAATATACCAAATGGTGATAAGTATTTGGGAGTTACATGGTATAAAATCCATTCCTGACAGCAATGTAGAAGATGTCGGCCATGATAACTAAAGCATTAGTTCCAAGCAAAAATATCTAAATGGAACGCAAGGCACACATATATAATTCAGTAAAACACAAGCTTTGCATATGTTTGAGCTTGTGTATTCTCGACAGTATTCAAAAGATTTGCAACATCACTAATGCAACTTGAAGGAGTAGCATAGATAAGGAAAGATCAGACAAGTTTTGTTTTTTGCTGCTGCCAGAGTCATCGACTTCTATAGGTTCTTCGTCTATCTCTCCAGCATCTCTAAACCTTCTTGTGAGACGAACTCGTGGTTTCGAAGAAGATCGTCGTCCCTCTAGAACGAAAAAGCGATCAATGTTAATAAATCAAACAAGAGGAATGGAAAGCAAATTTATTAAAAAAAGAACCTAAAGAACCAGCTTCTGATTTGTGTTCTTCAGCTTGGAGAAACTGATTCTAAACACTGATGCAGGAATCCTTGTTGAAAGAAGATGTTGCTGCATTTTCTTCAAAGTAATAAGCAATTGTGTAACGGTGATTTCCACTACCATCCTTTGTATTTCCTAGTTTCAGCTGGGCAATGAACATTTTTTCTTTAAACTCTCTATGCACATTTTCCAGTGGAAGTTCTTCATTTTGTCAAATAACTCCATAAACCTGCATTAGCATGATAATCTGTATGTATCTAATACAGAGCTATTCAAAGCTATTTGTAATTCCACCTTGTTATAGCGCTCCAGCACTTCAAGTGCAGTGAATTTAAGCAGCGATTCCGCTAGCTGGCCAAATATTGAAGCTGTGATCGTGTCAGTTTCATCAGTGAGATCAACTTCAAAACGACATCTGCATCAATATGTACTTCAGAAATAAGTCAGTAAATTCAAAAAAATCAGCGTTATGTAGAACAATGACAGCTCATGAACAACGCGCTAATTTCCTTGGTACAACTCTCTGTTTCTCATTGCAGTGGTTGCATGTATAAACTGAATCATAATTTGCTGATGTCATTCGGCAACTTGTGATACAAGACATGTACCAATACTTTTGTAGTATATGTTCAAAAGAAAAGCAAACCTTAACCCATGACACCTGTAGAAATTTGTAAACAGATTATAGGAACATTTAGGTGTATATACATGTATAAACATATCAGGAAAATAACACAGTTGTGTCATTTAAAGGATTGAATCCAGCAGTAAACAAGTCATGACCTTTTGAGTTGGAGTAATATCCATAAGTGAGGTAATTTTGTGGTTTCGATCATAAAACATTCTGGGACTATAATTGCTGTATGACTTGTTTTGACCAAGAGTAGAGAAACTCTTTTCATTTCTGACAGCCTTATAAATTTCATTGCAGAATAAATGCATCAATGAATGTCAAGTAACCTATCCCAGTCAGAAAGCAAAAAAAGGAAAAAGAAAAAGGAAAAGTAAACAATTTGACAGAATGAGACCAGTGTTTGAGTTGGTTGGCGTCTCTAATTGGTGGATTGACAAGAATAACCGAATCATTTCTTGTTGATAGGGCAATTCCTGATAGGTAGATACAATTAGAATAGGAATCAATAAACACACATAGAATTAAATTATCAAGAACCTAACCTCTATTAGGCCTCACCTTCATAAGTAACAATCTTGAGTCTGCGATCTATCACAACCGGATACTTGTCCTTCTGTTCAGTGATAGTCTTACCCTCTTTTTCAATGAAATTGTTCCAAAGAGATAATATGATTGGATTCATCCTACATAAAAAACAGTAAAATGTAACCTTTTAAACTGTTTTCATAGCACATAAGTTCGAGGACATAATTGTATGTAGTGTAAAACAGAAAATAATTGGAAAAAAGGTCCATACTTCTCATTGATAATAACAAATCTCTGCACAAACGATTCCTTTGAGTCTTTGTTGATTGGGATGACAGAAAGGACATTAATAACAATACTAAGAACATCTATAATTTGAACAAAGATAGTGATAAAGGCAGACAAAGTATCACAAATAAAGCATACAAATTTATTGATCAGCAGTTTAAATCAGAGATCTATAAATCACAGCATAAAAATCCAATGAACAGTAGATTAAAGGCCAAACTGACCAACAGTTTCATTCTTTGAATCTGCATAACGAGCAAATTCCTTAAATGGTGTGAGTGTGAATTGAAGCGGCAAGACACAGTTTTCTTCACTTTCAATTTCCTCAACAACAGTCTGTGTTCCTATAACCCATTGCAGTTCAATACCATCAGTCCTAAATTTCTCTGAAATTTTCTTCACTTCAGCATTTGAGATACGATATTTCTTGTAAAGTTGCAACTTTGGCCCCATTTTTTCAATAGCATAGTTAAAAAGAATTCCTTGAACTCTTGAATCCTGTGTCAAACGCCAACTTATATAAACAGAGACTGACCAATTATAAATAAAACGTATAGTGATAATGATTAAGGGTGAACGAAGACAATGGACAGGTCAAACTGAAAGATAGTGAATAGAAATATACCTTTGAGTCAACAAAAATAAGTCTCTGGAATCTGGTTGGTGTGGAAGTTGAAGAGCTTGGGTTCAACTTTTCTTGAACTATTACTTCAGCTGTCCAAGACTTCATTCCAGGCACAATATCATCAATATACAATGTATTTGCCATCCTGGAATAAGCAAGGAAATAAAACTATCAAATTTGTCAAGCTAAAGAGGAATGACACAAAAGAGACTGCATAAAAGGACAATTCATATAATATTACAGTTACACATGAGCATTATGTATACCTCAAAATATAAGATTTATTTCTTAGACATATAAAAATTTTCATGGAATACAACATTTCTTGTCTTGAATTCAGTTACAATATCACTGAATGTTCCTTGTAATATTAAAACTCTAACAGAAGATGATGTCCTAGCACGAGATAGCGCAACATATAGCTAGCCATGTGAGAACACAGGTTCTCGTAAATAAACTCCAACACGATCCAAGGTTTGTCCCTGTGACTTGTTAATTGTCATAGCAAAGCAAAGTCTGATGGGAAACTGGGTTCGCTTAAAAGGAACCCTATTCTTTTCATTGTCTGATGCTTGGAGAGAAATCCTCGGTAAAAGAACCCTCTTTCCTCGATGCTAACCAACTGCAATCTCTGCACAAATGGCATGCTACTTTAGCTGTCTACATATAAGTCGCGTTCCATTGCATAAGCCTTCTACAGGATTTAAATTCCTAAGAAGAATAATAGGGCAACCGTCTTTTAGCACCAATTTATGAGGGGGCAGGCCCTTGGGATTCAAAGAGTTTAAAAAGTCTTCGCAGTCAGATTGATCTCTCTCATTAATAGTTCGATCAATGCTCATATACACAAAAGGTCTTCAAGGAAAGCGATCAATCATCATCTCATTTATATCATTGACACATGTATTCTTTGGAGTAAGAATACATTTGTTTGTGATCTGGTATGGATCAGATGAATACACGCTCAAATCCGAAAATACAAAATCCACTAACCTGGTTAACAAATATTTTAGTCAAAATAATACCATTTAATAAATCCGATGTACATTAACAAAGTAACCATGGAGTTTGAAAGAAAAAATGAATTTTAACCTGTTTAGCGAATCTTCTTTATTATCAAACGGGATTGATATATCCTTTGATAGAGTTATTTTTCCATCTTTGTCTTCTGGTTCACAACCTTCGCCTATCCCAAGCAGGAAATCAGAGAAGTGGCTATCAGAGATAGCTCTCATGTTTTCAGTTAAGATTAACTTTCGAAGAGTACTCCATAAAAGTGAGTTGACAGAGCTAGCTTCTAACAGCTGATCCTTTGTTGCATTCTGAATAACAGGTAAAATTTGATGAAAGTCTCCCCCAAATACTACTACTTTGCCACCAAATGACAGATCGGAATCCATTACATCTCTGAGCAACCTGTTAAATACTTAAATAGTGTCCCTCTTGGCCATAGAACCTTCATCCCATAGAATTAATTTAGCCATTACAATAAGCTTAGCAATAGAGCTCTGTTTGCTGATATGGCAGATTTTACTTGCAGAAATGTCCAATGGGAATTTAAACTTGAGTGTGCGGTCCTCCCTCTTGGAAGAATAGATGCAGCTACTCCAGATGATGCAACAACTATTGCTATGAACCCTTGGGATCTAAGCGTTGCCAGAATAGAGCGATAAAGAAAGGTCTTACCAGTCCCGCCGGGTCCATCAACAAAAAAACTGGTATTTCTAGAAGAGAAAACCTCTTGCAGAATAACGTCATAGGCATATCTTTGGCCTATATTTAGCTTTGAAAGCAATAGCAAGTCTTGCTCTGTAAACTTTATGCTTAGCTCACTCCGAATTTCTCTTGTGAGATGCTCATCATGACTGAGAATGAAACCATCAGGTACCAAATGATAGTCATTGACATTTTTTCCATTTGTTCTAAGGATTTACTGTGACGACCCCATCTCCCCCTAGGGCGTACCCCAGGGTTTAGTGGTTTGCCTGCACAACTCTCGCCAGGACTCACTCACTCTCGTCAAATAAAATAGGTTACAACCTCAAGAGTAAAGGAAATAACAGTTCCCAAACTTGGAACGTACATTTACATTCATTTCTATTCCAAACATTCGTACAATCCCAATTATAACAAAAGATATGAATCTCAGATGCATTCAACCCTAACCGAGCACTAGCGCGAGTACAATCGCAAAATTTTCAAAAACTAGACTATGCTAGCCTGTACCAGTCTCACGCCCTCGCTCGTATCCCCTGTAAGGAAAACAAATTTAACGGAATAGGGTGAGTTAAAGGTCAGTGATGTTCCAAATAGCAAATTGACCGTTATTTAAAAGTGCACGTATCAAAGTAGCAAAGTAGCGAGCATAACAAGTTCATAAAAGTGAGTAATAACACTTCAAGTAGCACATCTCAAAATGAGCGAGTGAAAAATTCTTTTTCTAAAAGAAACAATAACACTACGAATAACAATCAAAGTGTAAAGATACAGATGGCTCTCAGGAGCCAAATTTCCATTGTTTCACCAGAGCTTGATCTAGTATTAGTTAACACTCCGTCAACTTTCAAGCAAAGTAACCAATCCAGTAGTGCTTCGCTTCACACCAATCCGTCCACCATTCAACCTCTTTATCGGGTCTGAACACTAACTAAACACTGGTGGTAATACTTGAGCATACCGATTAGTCGAGAAGATAACACTCCACTCGACAACACTAGATACCCATGGTTCGTTATCTAATCGACCAAGCCCTTGTTGGCTCGACTCGATTAACTAGCCAGTAGGGTTTGGGTTCTCACGTAGTCACTATAATCGATGACCAATCGACTTAGTCAAGAGAAAAATATGGAGACGGGAATGAAAGGTACCTCCCACTCGTATTGAGTATGGTACATACTGCCGCTCAGCACTTACAAGTCCAGCACAAGTACAAATACAAGTACAGGTCAATGCAAATCAAGTCACTTGTACAAGCATAAATGAGATATCAAGTATTTAGTTGAGTTAGGTCAAGTGCGATAAAGTACACACTTGCCCGACCAAACCAAGCAAATGTTATCCGATCACGTTGGCAAATCAAATATCAAGTTCAATCATGTATTTGGAAACACTCACCAAAGATATAGTGCGTTTACAGATCATGCTCAGGTTGTACTCCTGGTTTGGAGTTCAAATCTGCGATAAAACATCGTTCAAGAGCTTTAAAAAGTAACTAAGGTTCGAACCTTAAACGTTTCGTTTAACGAGAATCAAGTAATTGAAACTCATTTAGAGTATATTCGTACAACTCATGCTCGCTCTTAAAACTTTGAAACTTTGAAGCAATTATACTTTGAAATACCATTTGAGTCGAAGAAATGGAGAAAACGTATTTCTATTAGTCGTAAATTTCATTTTTTCCAAGGGTACAAGTTTCGGCCGAATTATAACTTATATACCTCCACAAAAGGGGACTCGAATAACCTAGATAATTCGAGTTAGATTCGTCCTCAAATCCTTACTCAAGTCACGAGTATCTCTACCTAGCCCTCGAGTGAAAATTTGTGCAGCACGCCCTTTGGGTTTACCTATTTTTTAGTCATTTATTGCTTCATTGTTTTTCTCAATTTAGCCCCACAATCATACACAAGTAATTTTACTAACATAGCCCTTCAATTAGGCTCCAAAATCATCCAATTACAATACAAGTGCAATAATACAATTAGAAATCAGTTTTGAAGACAAAAAGCTAAACAGCAGATTTGACATCTTATAGCATTTTGGTCACAACTGGAGCTATTTTTATCAGATTGGGGTGCACCATATACCATTTTGAAGCTAAGACAAAGGGTTACAACTTTCATGAAGACAATTTAACCCAGTTCATAGTTGATCTAGGTCGAATTTGCAAATTATAGAACCAGAAATTCATGGGCAGTCTGGTTGTCAGTACTAAATTCAAACGACAATAACTCAAGTTACGCAATTCCGATTGAGGCGTTTTCACATGCGTTGGAAAGCTAATACATAGGGTTAAAAATTTCATGTTTTGGTCAAATGCTGATTTGATATGGATCAAGGCGAAAAATGAAGTCAGAAATGGGAAATCTTGAAACTGTCCATGAAATGAGGCTTTTGACAGTCAGGGGTATTTTGATCTTTTCACATACTACAGTGCTCCGATTGAGTTAAAATTTTACAGACAACTATATCACACCATTTGCTAGAACTTTTATGTTTTGATCTAAGTCTGATTCGGCCTCTAACATGGATGAATGATGATGGACAGAAGCAGGGCAGTTCAATGCTTAAAACTGGAATTTAATGCATTCAAGGTATAAACTTCACATTTCTAGCTTGAACCACTACTTCAACTTCCCATAAAAGATTATAGACATCATATGCTCTCTAAACAACAAGGAATACAACTGAACAACTCAAATCCTAACTCAAAATCCACCATATCTATCAAAACTACCAAAAGAACTATCATTTATCACAAGTATGAGTTGTTATCCAAACTTAATCAAGTTTAAGGAAGAGATAAAGGAAAGGCAACCATGTATCTCTCTAAGATGCTTCCAAGAGAAATCCTTCACCTTTCCTTTCCAAACTTTAGCACCCCAAGCTTCCTAAGCTCTCAATTTAGAAGTTAATCGGTTTAGATTTTCAGTTTTCTCTCAACTAAGCTAGGAATCAAGATGGAATGAAGTGGTCTTTCTCTCTTGTTTTCTTTCCTTAAGTCTCGGCTGGAATGGCAGAAATAAAGAGCAAAAGAAGTGAATTTGGTGATAAATATGAAAGAAATTGGTTGGTCAACAACCTTGGGATGTTCGCCACTTGTCGCCTCAAGATTGCATCTTGAATTTTTTCTTCTTTTTCCTTTCTTTTTTGGTCAAGAATTTCGGCTCTCTCTCTTGGCTGATTAGGGATGATATTTTGGCACTAATAACAATGAGATTAAGTTAATAAAGTGGTGGTCAAGTGGTGTGTTCACTCGGTATCAAACGGTACCTGTCGATTCACACCGTTTTTCCTTAATTCGCATGTACTAGGGTTTTTACTTATCATTCACTAACTTATTATTATTACTTCTAATCACATATTTAATATCATCTAAAACTCACTTGTAATCACTAAATTTAGTACACACTCTGTACCGATTACTCACACTACGAAAAGACGTGAAAACCTTAGTTTACCTTTACGATGAAAGTAAAGGGAAAACCCTTGGTTCTATGATTAATTGTAACTATTGGGGATGTGAATGAGTAGTAAAGCTATTGTAAAGTAATAATTTTCAAATTAAAGGAAATTTTAAGAAAAATATAAACGAATTTGGCAGTCGTCACATTTATTTATATCCAGCAAAACACATCTTCTTATTTGTTCAACATTTTGAGCAAAAAAACTCTTAACTCTCTCAAAACCCCTTGACATCTCAGCTTCATATTTTTTCCAAAGGACTTTAGGATTGCTCGGTGAACAATAGGCTAACAAGATTGCAAAGAGAGTTCTTAATGAAGAAGACATCTGAAAGGTTGCTGCTTCATTAAGCGTGTCTTCCAGATGTGTGTCAGATTGAAGCTGTCCCATTTGGAAGGCAGCTTCTCTATAAGAGAGCATAAGCTTTCCATTAACAGTCAAGAGATCTTCAAAACACGTGGGAGCACGAACGTGAGATAAGAGAAGTCGCAAGTAGTAGCGCTCTCTCTCATTTGGAGCAACAGTTACAACACCACCAATAACTCTTTTTCTCTTCCGTTCAGTCCATCTTTTCTTAGCAGGCTTCCAGACAAAAAATTCTGGGAATTCACGATATAGGCATTTAAGACTCTGAGCTCTTTTTTTGGTTTTATTCATGCGAAAAAACTTTGTCAGCATTGTCTTGGAAAAATCGACTCAATCTAAGAGATCAGTAAGATTCATATTTTTATGAAAAGAGATCATTTGCTGACCTGGAAGATGTAATTGAAGAGTATACACAGCAGGAGTCATTTCATTCAGATTAAACCTATAAATGCGCCAAAAAACTTTAGCAGCCGCTACCCACCTCCCAGCCTGATAATCATTTATTTCATCTATGTTGTCAGGATTATTTACGGAATAAATATGGAAGCTAACACGATCTTGACCCTTATAGACATATTTATACAAATACTTGACCAGCTTAACCGTCGAACAGATTTCGACGTTCATGTGACAGTCAAAGAGAGCAAGAAGATATGGGTTATATGGCACAACCCATCGATTTTCTAGGTTGCTATTACGCACCCTTACAAATCGACCATTATTTCACCTTCTATAGTGCGGGTAGCTATCCTCAGTATGAACAGTGAATTCACTAAAATTCTTTGGATAATAATTTTTACAAAGCCCATCTTTCATTCAAACATTGTTCTTATTCAAAACTCCACATGATCCATGCATCATATGTTTGATCACAAGATTATACAAATAGCTTTGCTTCTCTGGCTCTAGAATCTCGGCAGACAAAATACGATCATAAGCATCAGAGTTCAATAGTTTAAATTTAGGCTTAAGGATAACCAAGAGGTGAGCATGAGAGAGACCCCTTTTTTGGAACTCAATCACATGAACACACGCAGCAACCTCCCCAAAAATCTTTTTTTTTTTCACTATTTCAGCCTTGAGCAGCTCAAACTTTGCTCTAAAAACTCTTGACACTAAGTCAGGCCTATCCTGTGCATCCTCTCCATATTTCAGATTTTCTTGGATTTTTTTTTCACTACGTATTACATGTCATGGTAATAAAAAGATCTGGCCTACCAAATTTCTGGACTAATGCCATCGCATCAATATATCTGCGGCGCATGTCCCTTGAACCACCAATGAAAGAAGCTGGGAGGTAAACTCGATGACCAACATTTTTTCCTTCAGTCTGACCAGCAGATAGACTATCCATTACACCCTGTAGAATCTTAGTCCTAATATTAGTTTGGTTCTTTCTATGGAAGTCAAGCCTAGACGTTTCAATCTTCACATAAATGCCAACAGCAAATTGCAGTAACAGTCTCCTTGTGTGCAACAATATTGATCTATCGTTTTCTCTCATTTGAAGTAAGTAACAGTAGTACTCTCTTGCAGAAACAGTGTCACGCTATTTTTTTTCACTTTTAGCAGCTACACAACAAGCACGAACAAGGGAAAAGTAGAATAAGAGACCTATCTAACGCTCTTTATAACACGTGGTTGGCAAAAAAAAAAAAATCAGGAACACACTAAGAAGACTTGCCTTCATGTTCCTGTTGAATCAAGCCTGATGCACTCCCAATTCAGGAAAAATTACGCACGACATCATCATCATTGTTCGCCTTTTTATTTTCTTCATTAGGATCACTACTTTTTGGATGCCATAATGCCAATCAGGCTCACCTCGAGGAAATAAGAGAGGGTACTGTAACAGATCATAGCACGCAAAATAATGTGGTATCCTGTGAGGCACATTTGAGTGTGTATAAATCTGAATATGAGCACTGCTTCATCCTCATTATCTGTCCAAATGGCAGCAACTTGGGATGAAGCAGGAAAATTATACACACGATGATCCAACTGAGGACCAGAGTTGAGAACAATCCTATAATTGTCTAGTTCAGGAATATCTCGAAGACCTTTGAAAAATTTAGTGTATGGATTAGCCTCAAGAATACGCATCAACAATTTGAGAGTGCTTTCACATAGCCTAGGCGAACCAGCGACTCTTTTTGATAACTCCTCTTCCTGATCGTAGAAATATAGCTGAACACCAGTAGCTTGATCAGTGGGAGATACCAAACTGTTCAATAAGTGGTACACTTGGCCTTGCACCCGAAAAGTATAAACACCCTTGGTACTCTTTGTTAAGGCACGATCATACTTGGCGCCAAATGATGTGAAAGCCAAATTATTGTTATAGGTTCGAACCCATTTTCAAAACTCAACACACTCCTCGTCAGTACCAGAGTAAAGACGAAGGAGTTCGTAAGGCATTGTCGGACAAACTACAGAAATCTCCCTACTACGACAACAAAATTTGGGTGGTTCCAAGGTAAACCTCTTTGCTCCACAGTGCTCGCAGTCAGGAACACTAGGCAGGACAAGAGGCTTTGTTGGTATTTTTTTCAAGCGGGAAGAATTTGTGATTGTAGGCCTTTTCCTTTTTCCTAAGACAATACCAAAAAAATATATCACCCTATCCGGACGAGAGGAAATACATCAAAAGCTTACTCTTAGATGTATATAAAGAAATCAGATAATCCATCACTAACCTTCACCCTCAACTCGTGTATTCACAACGATCTGTGGATTGTTTGAAGATTCAGAAAATTTAGAGTTATCAAATTCAAGCACACAGGTACCTTCTTCAACATGCACCATGTCATGAACTAAAAAAAAGACATGACACCAATCTTAGCTAAAGTAACCAAAACAGAAATACACAAAAGAAGTGATGATTTGGGATCAGCTATAGATAATTTTGGTGTAAGAGGCAATGAAGGAACAACAGTAGTGCACGAGAGAGTGAGTTACAAATTATCGGAGAGATGAGAACAGAGGAGTCTATGTAAGTGGTTAGAAAGAAGTGATGTATAAAAGTGACTCCGATCAAAATTGGAATAGAGAGATAAATAAATATAGAAAGGTACCAGAAATGGATAGTAATAAGAGAAAAATGACTCTATAGTTCAGGAATCTACTCTTAGAAATAATATACCTCCTAGCGGTGAAGGCACGACAGAAGAACCGACAGGTAACGAGCTTTTAGGAAGTAAGTTTTGGCTTCTCATATCAGAAGCCAGTTGGTCAAAAATACAATCAAATGCATCAGCTAATTCATCACTACCCATTATATTTTGAACATCCATATTAGGTATTTCATAGGCTGCAAAGAGTGTATCTGCCTGAAAAGAGGCAGTCTTGGAACCATCTGAACAATGGCTACGCATAGACTTATTTTTGTCTAACTGTTGCACAACAGGGGTGGGAGAAAGAGGACTACTCTATTTTTTCGCAGCATAGGAAGCCCTCCTACGGCGATTTAATGCATCTTTCTTCTCTTGATCCATAGCAGCGTATCGCATACGCCGTTTTCAGTTATAATCCATTCAACCAAGAAGCAAATGCTATATGATGATCAACATAAAAGGCATTGATATTAACAGTTAAGCTCACAAAAAAATGTCAAACCACAGCATTACATGGATAAAAAACTTCACAACAGATGGTAAGCATGCTAAAATAAAAGGTAGAGAAAAACAGAACACATAAAGAAGAAACCAATGCAGGAAAAGAAAAAATAAGAAAAGGATGACTAAAAAGAATAATAAAAATTTGGGAGACATACAAACTTCAAGATTCAAAGCTCATTAGATCAAGAACAGAAAAAAAGTGGTCTGTAAATGTAGAAGTTTACCTGGAAACAAAGCACCGAATGTAGGTTCAAGGAAAACACAGCTCAAGAAGAAACTCCTGCCAAAAAGAACAAGATAACTTGAAAGAAGAGTAAATATAGTTCTTTTAGAACTGAAATGTTCTGAGAAACCCAAAAAATGAAAATAGAACAGCTATTGCTTTGGATAAGGGTCAATGGCTTACAAGTATATAAGTTCATCTGAGAACAAAATAGCCAATGTAGGTTGAAGGGAAGGGCAGTTAAAGAAGAAACCCTCGCAGAAAAGAACAAGGTAACTTGAAAAACAGTAAACATATTTTTTTTACAACGTTAACGTTCATGCAAACAAAATGCTACATCAGTCTACCTTATGCACTACATGCATCTGACAAACACATGGCGTGCAAGATAACACGGGCTTGGCTACGTACAATGCTGGTGTAGCGTGTACAGATAAACAACAAACAATAAGAGCAGAACGAAAAAAACACCTGGAAAGCTCAACACAGAGGACAGATGTTCCAAGCAAGGCACCAGTTGCAAGAATACAATGGAAGAGCACAACTAAACAAAAACACGCGATAAACAAAAGAAGACTTAAGCTGAGCAAAAATTTTGAAGAGCCAGAAGCACATTGACCAAGAAAATGAGACGCTGTTAACAGACAATGCTGCAGCATTGGAGAAGCGAGCTACATTTTTGGAAAGATAACCGAGAAAGAACGTTTCTATTCCATAGTCTAAAATATTGTAAGCTACTAGGTTTGTTGCTCACACGGATATTGAGATAGCACAAAAATTGCTAAGTTTCAATAATAGAAAACCTGGATAAAATCGAGATAGAGACAACTATCAGCATATGCAATTAAAAGCTTCTGACAACCGAAAAATTCATAGTATCCTTAGCTAATGTGAAAGCAGACGCATCCATAAGGTAAAAACCATTGAAAAGGAACAGGCATAATGTAAAAAAAATTGTTAATATCAACAAAATACCAAAAAGTGCAAGTGAAAACGTAATATTTATTAGAAGTAATAAATTCAATAGACAGGAGAAAAATTAGTATAGAGTAATAAAGGATGCTGCATTTAAAGAAAAAGTAAAAAAGTTAGTTCTCAAGCAAACGTTAGACATAAGGGGCAACACTAAAGGAACAAAAAAAATTAGACACTTCAATGACCAAACTAAAAAATACGTCAAATAAAATTATTAATGAAAGGTAATTAGTTCGTTATAATTTTCACATATAAAACAAGGATGGCGACGAAAAAATGTATGCGCTTATTTTTCAGTAAAATTACAAATATATACGAGAAATTATAGCCACGATACAAAAGAGAAAATATGTTTGTCGAATAAAAAGTTATCACGGATAAAACTATGATTAGGCAAAAATTGCATGACAGACAATAAAAAAAACTTTTATGGAGGAAAAAATGTTATAGGCAAAATACATATACAATACCCTTCTATTTAATTTAAAGAGCTAAACAACGAGAAAACAAAAAAAAATGTTAACAAGCGCCATTGAATATTGAGGCATCATTAAGAAGGCTTTACATTGATAGTTATAATGTTATAGAATTAAATATCTAGAGGTTCACATATATCTGCTTAATTTTTTTCGAGATTTATGTACTCATCGTTGGTAGATTGAACAAGGAAGAAAAAAAGTAAAGTTCAATAGAAAGATAAACCAAGTGAAATAATTTAGAAAATATGAAAACCAGCCGTTGGTACATTATATCGGCCAAGAACAATTGCATCAATAATCTGGACCTTAGTAACGTAATATATAAATTCTGAA